GGAAGCCGGCTGCTGCCGCGGGTCTGATGAGCGGCGAATTTAGGTTTCCTGTCGCGCTCAGGCTCTGCACCGTGGTTTCAGAGAAAAACACCCCCGTCTCAACCCCCTCGCTCCAACCAAGGAGGCAAACACCCGCCAGCAAACAGGCCGGCTCCAGGAGCCGGTGGCTCTCCCCGTGCCGAAGGCCGGCGATGGGCTGAGCCAGCACCAGGTGAGGACCCTGCCATCCTCTGCTAGAAATTTGGGGCTGTTTAGAGGTTTTTTAAGCTTCTTGCATGCCGGAAGCTGCACGATAAGAGACAGCACCGAAAAAAACACCCCCCAAAAAAAAGCATTTGCAAAACCCTTGGGGCACCGGCGGCATTTCGGGGTGCCCTCCTACCTTAAAGACCTTGCCGAAGGCACCATCACCCAGCTCGCCCAGCACCAGCCAGGCCTCCTCGGGGTCGACATCCCGCCTGACGTGCTCGTACCTCCTCGGCAGCTTCTTCTTTTCCGAAAAGCCAAAAAGCCGTCGGAGAAAAGCCATGGGGCCACCTCCATGCAGAGAAAACGGGGCGGCTGAGCTCGAGCTCCTCCACCGAGCACCTTCGCAGCCCTCGCTCTTCCTCCCCCGCGGGCAGGAAGGGGCTGAGCGCTGCCCCGGACCGCGCAGGATGTGCCGTGGGATGGAGGTGCCGAAAAGGAGATGCTCTGCTCCACGCCTGTTGCATCCTACCCTTGGGTATTTTCAGGATGGGAGAAAGGGTTCGTGCTCACCCAGTGGCGCTGCCTCTACCCCTTGCACCCTCACCAAAGCCGAAGGTGCCGCCTGCACCCCCGCCAAAACCACGTGCATGAGCATACGGGGGTCCCTGGGTGCCCCTCTGCAGATATATGGTCCTTTATGGTCACAGGTGCTTGCGTAGGTGCGCAGCCCCATGAATTCATGCATCCCCACACATGCACAGCCCCGGCTGGGGGTCAGCAGCAACAGGCTCTGTGGCTGGGTTCGAGCTTAAATAGGTCCCATGGGTGGTGGGACGCCCCAGGTAAGGTCGTTAGGCCTTATTAATGCCCCACTAATTAACTCTCCCTGGAAAGACCCTTGTGGTCAGGCTGGTGTTCAGCTGTGCCACCTCTTTGGCAGAGGGCGGGGGCGTAAGGTGTTGGTACCGCGGCTGGGACCTCCTTTTGCAGCCCCCCCAGCCCCCTCTCGATGGGGGGTACCCAAAGCTGCCCCCAGCACCCAGGGTGCTGCAGCAGCATCCAAAAGCATCCGGCTCCGGCTGCTCCCCTAAATCAAGGTGGTTTTTATCTCCTAAATAATAAACCCCCTGTGCCGGCGTGGGTGCAGCATCTCCCCTGGTGGGGGGGGGGGCGCTCAGCTCACGTGAGCTCCCCGAGGAGGCTGTTTTCCCGGTGATTACATCGGTTAATCACGGGGTAATTAAATCCAGGGAGATATTAAATCCAGGGAGATATTTCACGGCTTTATATTCATAATTCAGAGGGTCAGGCTTCGGAACAGAGCTGTGGTTCTACACCAGCACCCGATGGGATTAACCCACGGGAGGAGGGTGCTGGCGATTCCCGCAGCCCCAAAGCCCCACCAAACCCCCGGGAGATAACGAACCCTCTTGCCGCACTTTGTGCCCCAAAGGGATGCGGGTGCCACCGGCGCTGCCAATCCGGCGCCATCCCCAGCAGCCGGGCTTTCATTATTTGACTCTTTCTCCTTCGCCGTCTTCTCCTTTTCCTCCTTCTCCTTTTCTGTCGCCTTCTCCATTTCCTTTTCCATTTCCTTCTCCTTCTCCTCCACCTCTTCTCCTTTTCCTTCTCCTTTTCCTTCTCCCTTTCAGGCAGCGGCCGGCACTGGGCTTTCCTCGCTGGCTGAGCCCCGACACCTTTCAGTGCACAGATGGCCGCTATCACCCCAGCCACACCTTTCAACCTCAAGAATTCCCCTTTTTCTCCAGCATCTATTCCACGGGATGAAAAAATAAAACTCCCCTCGGGGAGAAGCTTTTCCTTGCG